TGTGTGTGTGTGTAATCGTGTCCTGAGTGTGTGAGTGTGAGTTTGTGTGTGTGTGTAATCGTGTCCTGAGTGTGTGAGTGTGAGTTTGTGTGTGTGTGTAATCGTGTCCTGAGTGGGAGTGTGAGTGTGTGTGTGTAATCGTGTCCTGAGTGTGTGAGTGTGTGTGTGTGGAATCGTGTCCTGAGTGTGTGAGTGTGTGTGTGTGGAATCGTGTCCTGAGTGTGTGAGTGTGTGTGTGTGGAATCGTGTCCTGAGTGTGTGAGTGTGTGTGTGTGGAATCGTGTCCTGAGTGTGTGAGTGTGTGTGTGTGGAATCGTGTCCTGAGTGTGTGAGTGTGTGTGTGTGGAATCGTGTCCTGAGTGTGTGAGTGTGTGTGTGTGGAATCGTGTCCTGAGTGTGTGAGTGTGTGTGTGTGGAATCGTGTCCTGAGTGTGTGAGTGTGTGTGTGTGGAATCGTGTCCTGAGTGTGTGAGTGTGTGTGTGTGGAATCGTGTCCTGAGTGTGTGAGTGTGTGTGTGTGGAATCGTGTCCTGAGTGTGTGAGTGTGTGTGTGTGGAATCGTGTCCTGAGTGTGTGAGTGTGTGTGTGTGGAATCGTGTCCTGAGTGTGTGAGTGTGTGTGTGTGGAATCGTGTCCTGAGTGTGTGAGTGTGTGTGTGTGGAATCGTGTCCTGAGTGTGTGAGTGTGTGTGTGTGGAATCGTGTCCTGAGTGTGTGAGTGTGTGTGTGTGGAATCGTGTCCTGAGTGTGTGAGTGTGTGTGTGTGGAATCGTGTCCTGAGTGTGTGAGTGTGTGTGTGTGGAATCGTGTCCTGAGTGTGTGAGTGTGTGTGTGTGGAATCGTGTCCTGAGTGTGTGAGTGTGTGTGTGTGGAATCGTGTCCTGAGTGTGTGAGTGTGTGTGTGTGGAATCGTGTCCTGAGTGTGTGAGTGTGTGTGTGTGGAATCGTGTCCTGAGTGTGTGAGTGTGTGTGTGTGGAATCGTGTCCTGAGTGTGTGAGTGTGTGTGTGTGGAATCGTGTCCTGAGTGTGTGAGTGTGTGTGTGTGGAATCGTGTCCTGAGTGTGTGAGTGTGTGTGTGTGGAATCGTGTCCTGAGTGTGTGAGTGTGTGTGTGTGGAATCGTGTCCTGAGTGTGTGAGTGTGTGTGTGTGGAATCGTGTCCTGAGTGTGTGAGTGTGTGTGTGTGGAATCGTGTCCTGAGTGTGTGAGTGTGTGTGTGTGGAATCGTGTCCTGAGTGTGTGAGTGTGTGTGTGTGGAATCGTGTCCTGAGTGTGTGAGTGTGTGTGTGTGGAATCGTGTCCTGAGTGTGTGAGTGTGTGTGTGTGGAATCGTGTCCTGAGTGTGTGAGTGTGTGTGTGTGGAATCGTGTCCTGAGTGTGTGAGTGTGTGTGTGTGGAATCGTGTCCTGAGTGTGTGAGTGTGTGTGTGTGGAATCGTGTCCTGAGTGTGTGAGTGTGTGTGTGTGGAATCGTGTCCTGAGTGTGTGAGTGTGTGTGTGTGGAATCGTGTCCTGAGTGTGTGAGTGTGTGTGTGTGGAATCGTGTCCTGAGTGTGTGAGTGTGTGTGTGTGGAATCGTGTCCTGAGTGTGTGAGTGTGTGTGTGTGGAATCGTGTCCTGAGTGTGTGAGTGTGTGTGTGTGGAATCGTGTCCTGAGTGTGTGAGTGTGTGTGTGTGGAATCGTGTCCTGAGTGTGTGAGTGTGTGTGTGTGGAATCGTGTCCTGAGTGTGTGAGTGTGTGTGTGTGGAATCGTGTCCTGAGTGTGTGAGTGTGTGTGTGTGGAATCGTGTCCTGAGTGTGTGAGTGTGTGTGTGTGGAATCGTGTCCTGAGTGTGTGAGTGTGTGTGTGTGGAATCGTGTCCTGAGTGTGTGAGTGTGTGTGTGTGGAATCGTGTCCTGAGTGTGTGAGTGTGTGTGTGTGGAATCGTGTCCTGAGTGTGTGAGTGTGTGTGTGTGGAATCGTGTCCTGAGTGTGTGAGTGTGTGTGTGTGGAATCGTGTCCTGAGTGTGTGAGTGTGTGTGTGTGGAATCGTGTCCTGAGTGTGTGAGTGTGTGTGTGTGGAATCGTGTCCTGAGTGTGTGAGTGTGTGTGTGTGGAATCGTGTCCTGAGTGTGTGAGTGTGTGTGTGTGGAATCGTGTCCTGAGTGTGTGAGTGTGTGTGTGTGGAATCGTGTCCTGAGTGTGTGAGTGTGTGTGTGTGGAATCGTGTCCTGAGTGTGTGAGTGTGTGTGTGTGGAATCGTGTCCTGAGTGTGTGAGTGTGTGTGTGTGGAATCGTGTCCTGAGTGTGTGAGTGTGTGTGTGTGGAATCGTGTCCTGAGTGTGTGAGTGTGTGTGTGTGGAATCGTGTCCTGAGTGTGTGAGTGTGTGTGTGTGGAATCGTGTCCTGAGTGTGTGAGTGTGTGTGTGTGGAATCGTGTCCTGAGTGTGTGAGTGTGTGTGTGTGGAATCGTGTCCTGAGTGTGTGAGTGTGTGTGTGTGGAATCGTGTCCTGAGTGTGTGAGTGTGTGTGTGTGGAATCGTGTCCTGAGTGTGTGAGTGTGTGTGTGTGGAATCGTGTCCTGAGTGTGTGAGTGTGTGTGTGTGGAATCGTGTCCTGAGTGTGTGAGTGTGTGTGTGTGGAATCGTGTCCTGAGTGTGTGAGTGTGTGTGTGTGGAATCGTGTCCTGAGTGTGTGAGTGTGTGTGTGTGGAATCGTGTCCTGAGTGTGTGAGTGTGTGTGTGTGGAATCGTGTCCTGAGTGTGTGAGTGTGTGTGTGTGGAATCGTGTCCTGAGTGTGTGAGTGTGTGTGTGTGGAATCGTGTCCTGAGTGTGTGAGTGTGTGTGTGTGGAATCGTGTCCTGAGTGTGTGAGTGTGTGTGTGTGGAATCGTGTCCTGAGTGTGTGAGTGTGTGTGTGTGGAATCGTGTCCTGAGTGTGTGAGTGTGTGTGTGTGGAATCGTGTCCTGAGTGTGTGAGTGTGTGTGTGTGGAATCGTGTCCTGAGTGTGTGAGTGTGTGTGTGTGGAATCGTGTCCTGAGTGTGTGAGTGTGTGTGTGTGTGTGTGTAATCATGTCCTGTGTGTGTGTAATCGTGTCTTGAGTGTGTGAGTGTGTGTGTGTGTAATCATGTCCTGAGTGTGTGTGAGTGAGTGAGTGTGTGTGTGTGTGGGGGGGT